ACTTATATCGCGTTCGTCGCGCGCGCCGCGCGAGAAACACTCCGCGCACCCCTTGTACACCGCGGCTCGGCTCACACTGCGCGTGTTATCGGCCGACCACGGCGGGGCCGCCGCGGTTCTGTTTGTTCTTCTCCACCCTTCTCGTTATCGCCACCCCCTCCCCCTCCCGCTTCCCTGGACCCCACTGGCTCGGTGTCGCGTCGTGTCACCTCGGCCCGCTAATCACGATTCAACGTCCCGTTAATGCTTGAAGTAAACAACTGAAACCAATGGGAGTCGTCAGCGACCACCGGGCCGGCCAATAGCCGCCGGCTGGGGGCAGAGCCCGCCCTCCCGGAGGCCAGGTCCAGGAGTCTATCAGTCGCTGATGGTGGTCCGCAGGCGGACGTACAGCAGCCACAATGCCAGCTGCTTTGTCAAATAATTCCACGACGAGTTGTTTACCTTGGATCCACGAAACTCCTCCCGTCCCATAGCGGTTCATCTTCAGACTAAGAAGATGGCTCCGATTTCGAACAAGCTCATTTGCAAATAAATCGATCGACGACGAAGCCCACGCTTACAAAGAAACCCGGGATCTGCTTAGGAAATCATGCACGTCACAACTGGATCATTAATAACGAAAAGTTTCTCAGAGATGGCGACCCGCCTTCCATAATCAAGAACCGGGCTGAAGCAGCCTTGGCCGACCAGACGAGCAGCATCATCACTCATCAATCATCCAAAATCGGTCATGCAAATGAACTCACAATCGAATCATCGAAGCCATCAAGCAGGATCGACATGCTCGGCGCGCTGTAAGATAATCCACCGGAACGCCCAGATCCAAGATGTCTTGTTCAGACTCGGTTAGGTCGACTGCCTTACATAGCATTCGTTCGTCCCATCAGTCAGCTCTGTCCCAAAGTGAAAGAAAACGACCGGGCCAGTGTCACTGAATCCGGCACGTGACATACTCGGGCGAACAGTTTCCGTTCAGGGGAGCCATAGACGTGACCGGTCCGGACATAGCGTGAGCTGAATACTAAGGTACACTGGGTCTCAGCTCCGCAGTCAACGAATGCCATCACCTTTTATGTCTCAGTTTGTTCTTCATGAATAAAATAACAAAACGGCTCCTCGCCGCTCCTGCCAACGATGACAGGGCCGATGGAAGCCCACTTTGCGCGCATCACTGACAGAATCATCACGGCTTATTTGTAAGTGTGAGCCATTCGACACCAGAGTGTTCCAAGCCGGCATGAACAAAGAACATTGTCCTGCCCATCAGAGCCGCCACCGGCGTCGTGCCGCCCAGATGGGTGCAATGAAGCATCCCTGAACGACTCCGCGGGCGCCTCGACGCCTCGGCGCGCGCCTGTCAAAACCGTTTAGCAAGCGCCGCCTGTAAGGAGAGCACTCAGCAAGTGGTGTCACGACGTGGTTCAGAGCACAGCACGATTCGGAGTCGGTGACACCCTAAACCAGCTCCACCCCTATCTGCAGCTCCGAGCGTCCGCCAGTGGCGCGGGCTTTAACGACTTCGGAAATGACCGGCATCAAACGGCGTCACGAAATGGCGGCAGTGCCCCAGTTTCGTCACATATGAACGCGCATAAAATAATCGAACAAGTGATACTGTGACATGCGAACGGACACCTAAAGCTGATGCAATATCAGGTTATCATGGCAAGGCCAACAAGGCAACTCCCGCTAAGCCTTGTAGCATGAAGTCTTTAAACCGAAGACGATCACAAGAAGACCATCGTCGCCAAACCATTCCATAGACGACAATCCAAATTTTCAACCGGACACACCTAGCCCCACAATAACCCTGTTTCCTTTGCCTGCAACTGAGTGCAACACACTTTAAAAGCTAGCGCTACACGCTCCCATGAAGCCCGGATGTACTCGTGGCCACGCTGTCTCAGCCAATGTCATGCCCGCGCCAGATTAAGACAGAGTGGCCGCCGGAATAAACGCAACAGGAGCAGTGCACACTTTCACCATCTAATTTCCGCCGTAATTTCTTTTCACCCACAATGACAAATGATGTGCATCACATAATAAATGATGTGCAATCAACTCCTGCTCATGCATAAATGAAAGATAAGACTACGGCACAGCATGGGACCCTGACAGGCAGTCGGCGAAGAAAAAAGAACACGTAGACAGGGCATGATTGCACGGATCGCATTCACTCATGTATTAGCTGTGGTTGATGATTATGTTTATCATCTTGGAATTTAAGGGAAAAGTTGAGGCTATTCATGAAGTATGATGGGTCATGTTCGCTGATTTGTTTGACAGCAATACCTCTTAAAATTCACCATCGGCTTGACCAAACCCATGAGAAATGATTGCATCATTTCTCTAACTCAGCATGACATCTTCATCGCCCCACAAGCATGACTTGCCCGCCTCACCTGGCCAATAACGCCCCGCCCGAACAGTCAATGATAAGAGGCTGCCGTGGCGTACTAAGACAAAAGGGTGGGGATTACTGACGCGGTCGAGTGCGCACCTCGTCAAAGACCAGCTGAATAGCGAGCATAGTTTTAAAACGTCCCCAGCGAATTGACTGAACTGTGTCATATTGTATCCGCCTTCAACTACGGCTGCAACGCACTGTAAGAATCTTGGCAACGCATTTGTAGTCATTGAATAATGTACTTTTTCCAGTGACTTCCACCAGTCTAGATCTTGCCTCTCTAAGTAGTTCAGATTCGTCTCCCAGACTATAGCAATTTGACAGTTTATTCTGCAGCTCACTAGCGTGCGGTACACGCAGGGACATGCCAAGTACGCCAAGTTCTTTGATTTGGTAGCCGAATCCGTAAATCACACACGCACTTTGCGAGAATGTCGGCCAGAAAATGGTTCGGTGAGCGCTTTTCGCGTTGTCGGAATCACGCACGGTTGCTCTGATCTGAGTTCTGGGTATTTGGCAAACTTGAGACCAAAGGTCTGCGTATTGGAGCTGTGGTTTCTCTGTAGTCGACCGATCTGACCGGAAACTTCAATCGGCATTGATTGTGGGGTAGGGGGCTTATGATGGACTGACGGAGCACAATTTCGTTTGTTTATGAAGATATCAATACAAGAAAGGCTACATTCCTTATATGCATTTGATAACGACAAAGTTTTAGTGCCGTATCTGGATAGTTTTAGCAGGACAACAGTGTTCCGATCTGCGCAACGGTGATACCTTGACGGAAAACGCAATGCTTCTTACGTTTTTTTTTTACGTAAGCGAGCCTTCAATTTCATTTCAAATAATGAAATCAAGAATTAAAACATTCTGTTTTGAAGGATTCGGTGTAATGGGTCACGGAAAGGCCCTTCTACATACAAAAAAAGAGCTCTACATATAAAAGTAAAACTCATTTACCACTAATTTACGATATGTAGAAAGGATCAATTTCTTTAAGACGGCTGAAAAAATTTACTTCCGGGCTCCGGCAAGCATGAGGAACATGATCTCGTGCCTAACATATTTTTTACATTGTGTGATATTTTCCGAGTGCCCTGACAATTCAGCATCTGTATCAAAGAAAGATGGAACCACTACCAGCAAGGCTCTCCAATCCACATGCTATATTTCTAGTTAAAAGTGGGACGACAGATACTCTAGCCGGAATGAGAATGAATGGCCGCCTTAGCCGAATAGTTTAGGCGCTGCGAATCAAAGCCAATTTGTCCACAAAACGTAAATACTATGACTTCTAATCTGAGTTTATCAGAAGTGTTTGAGCTGGTGGTAATTAGTTGATACCAACCATGCTCTGTGGCCTGGCTTACTATGCGTGGAGAGGAGAGGAATGTTTCACTCAATTAAAGGAACAGTAAACGGTATAAACACCGAAGGGCAGCCACGCTCAATATCAGTGTTGATTGTTGACCTGCGATATTTCCTGAACAAATTAAGTGCTCACGATCCTCGGTCGATTTGCTTTCGCTTTAAAAGGAGCATTTGCTTAGTGCTGGGATTTCAAAATTATTTGAAGTCAAAAACGATCACAGTTAACATCATATTCAATTTTAAAACTTAACAATGAAGCAGCAAATTAAGTTTTTAAAAAATCGCTACCATTTCTGGCTATAAGCTCACCATGACACACTACAATAAAGAGAAAAATAGGTATCCAAAAATTGTTAGGCTGACCTGCGCATTTCCATAAAAATTACACGAATCAAAATTAATTCAATTTTTTCCAGGACTATCACCGATCATACCCAAAATAAAACTTAATGCTAACAAACTTCATGTTTTCTGAGCCTTTTCATCGAGCCCTGCCGGAAGCACAACCACGAACGGGTTGAGTCCAAGGTTGAGTCGGGGTTCCCGGCCGCGCGCCGCCGCCGCCGCCGCGTCGCCCGGCCGGCCGTCCATCTCAGCCGCTCTAGTTTACTGCGTCGGCGTGCTGTTTTTCCTGCGTGGCGGTCCGCCTCTCTCACTGGACAACAAACAGCTCGGAGCTCCAGCGCGAGCGGCGAGCGAGCCACGGCCTCTGGACCACCCAGAAGGCGCCGCGTCCCGGCCCGGCCCGCCGTACGTAATGCGGGCACCTCACGCGGGACGGGCGCCGCTGTAGAAATGGTGCGACACAACGGGTCTCGAGGCGGACCACCCACGGAGACAGGAGAGAGACGAGGCGAGATGGGGATGGGAGGGAGCGAGGAAGGGACATGGGGAGGAGGGATGGGCGGGAGTGGAGAAACGATGGAGATGTGAGAGCGATTCGCGGATTTTGAACCCGTGAAAAGGACAGAATAATGAAGAATCAAATACGTGATGTTCAAATTCATACCCTTGTATGTCTTTCCATGAGACACCAGTCCACGTGCTGCCCGTCTCGACTACAATTCCATTTCACGTAACCACCGCCCACAAACTATCAACTCCTCTCCAATCGTCGGCGGCAGGCGTCTGATCAGCGCGTGACAAATCACTGCAACGCTACCAAAACACGGCGGCGGCTCCGCACCCGGGTAATCCAATCAAACACTGTCGTACTCACCGTCAGCGGCTGAGCAAACACGGCTGGCAAACACTGGTGTTGGGCGCACGCGCGCGGAGCTCCCTCGGTAAACACTGCCGGCCGGCCACTGGCGCTGACGTCGCGCCGCGCGCCGGCCGCCGCCGAGCAGCCGTCTCAATCCCGACCGCCGCCCCGGGCGGTGCGTTCGCCCAACCGGCTCTGTGCGGCCACAGTTGGACGGTTCTTATTCACGCGAACGGCGCTAACTTAACGATCCTTGCTGGTAGGACAAAGTTTTTCGTGGAAACTCGTTGACAAGGTTGTCCACAAGAAATTCGATCAGAAACATGAAGGTCATCTGTGCTGAAACCTCCCGTCAACATAAGAACTCACAAACACGGGCGGCCAAGAAAATTAAGTTGTTGATGGTCGTGGCGGGTTGACAGGTTTAGTGGCGCTGGTATTTCTCCCTGGAGGTACTACAATTGTGAACGCTGGGCCAATGGGCGGGCCGCCGGCGCCGCGGCCAGCCCCTCGCCAAAGACCTCGCACCCAAGCGGCGAACGGCGGCGAGGGTCGCGCGGCGGCCAGCCTTGAGGTGCTCGCGCGGCGCGGGCCACGCAGGGCAGCTTTGTCCGCGCGGCGCCGGCACGAGAGGGCCCCAGGCGGCGCCGCGGCGCGCCGGGATTGTGCACCTTGCAGACGAGCGCGCCGCGAACGTCGCACTGCGGCGGCCGGCGCGGTGACGAGAGCCGGTGACGCGATGACGCCGCCCGGTGACGGCGCGAAGGCGCCCGATGATGTATTGCACGTGGTCAGGTGCACGGCTCTCGAAGAGAATCGGTCGATGTCCTCTGGTGCATGGTAGTAGAGGGGGAGGGGTAGTGAAAGGGAAGAGGTGCGCACGTGCGCGGTGCAGGGTGCACACTGCACTGCAGCGCACAGCGGGGCTTTGTGGGCTGTATGAATGAATATGATGACGTTGAGGTTATCTGCAATAAAACGAAAGCGTGCCATAACTCATTGAAGTCCCTGGGAAATGTCGGATGATCCTACATGAGTGAATATGGATTCCCAGGATATGGAAACTCAGCAAAACGGTAGGATCCATGTGTTACAGTTATTTGATTTAAAGTTCGATTTTCAGAATAATGTCCCACAGAAGAAAACAAGCTCGGCTCGGAGCGCCACTGCGTGACGTCTCAGTCCCTGATATCGCCGATATGCAGCAGGCCCTCGCTACACGACGACCGTTCACCCGTGCAGCAGCCCGCGCAGCGCTCGAAATGCGTCTCAGCCACCTGCCCCCTAAACGCCGTGTCACGTTCGAGGCGCAAGACGTCACGTCCGCAGCAGACGGCGCTCGCCGCGGCTCGGGCTGGCGGCTGCGACCGAGTGACAGGTGGCGTCTTCATTAAAAAGTTTAATGTCCCTCGTGACTTGCTCGTCGAGCGTGTTGACAGTGGCTTTCCCGATTCTTCCAGAGCGGGCGCTGCGAGCGATGCTATCGCACGGTGAAGCCCGCTATACGATGCCGCTCACGATTCTGTCGATTTTGCAGATTTTTCCGCTGTTGCCGGGCGAGCGTGCCGCTATGCTCAGTCAGTTGGATGAGTTTGTTTAGGACGGGCAGTAAAACCGGAGATAGACGGTGAACGGCTTCAAACTGTCGCGCTGAGAACATAGGTCCATAAATCTTCCTGAGACAGCGCTCCCCCCGGAGGTGTGTCGCTTGAACGGGACTGTCCTCTAGTCGAGCATGGGAAATCGCGCTGGAATGTCACGCCTGTTGTGCTGAGATGTTTTCTTGCCACGCCGTTAGGTACGAGGCAACAGGTCGGGAAGATATCGTTTGGCTTTTGTATTGAACGTATGCAGCTATTTGTATGGTTAGCATGCACCATACATTTTGCACACTGTTTTATGCAGTGGACATAACTACATGCTCGAGATATCCGATGCCTCTCATTAGCGTGATCGATATATTCTGCACGTTTGACAGCCAAAGACGTGACTGAGGTCACCGAGCGGCATTGTGTAACAAACATTTATCATGCTGCACTGATGACTAAATGTTTCAGAAGCCAAACAATGTAGCCGAGGGACGTCCAGAAGATATCATTATTCTTACACATGTCAAGATACAGATCACGACGACAAATGTTCAGTCGTCTTTTTTATGTGGAATACAGTGCCGGCGGATGCGCCAGGGGATCGGCGACCGTGCCACTTCTCAGAAAATATTTGTTTTTAAATTCCCTACCAAACTCGGAATAAATCATTAATCCGATCCAAAAACCCTGGAGGATGATGTCTCTCTAGAAGTTGTTTAGCTTCATTTATTTAGTACATACCTAATGTTTTTTGCTTTTGCTAATCACAACATTTTTATATCTTTTAGGTTATACACATAGGTTTATTGTGAAGATTTGGTAACAAGTCGGGATACGAAAGATTCCATTGTTTTTGGAAGGCGTCAGGTTCCACACTTGTCAAGAAAACATTTCATTTTCTCTAAAACATCAGGAAAGCTACCGTTCTCTGGTATCGATGCATCAAACCACTTTCATGCTTTCCAAATTGATAAAATCTTAATTGCTCCAGGACAATGCCGACGGTTAGGCTGTTACTACGGCAGCAAGGATGGGTATCTGCACACAGAAAGCAGTGGCGTTTTTATCAGTACCTACGTGCGCGACGCGTGTGACACACGTGCACATCATGCTTGTCCGCTGACCTAATTTTTACATTTTAATCGTATTTATCGTAAACGTCGAGAAAGTAGTGAGATTTGTTGCGTAACTTGCAGCTCCAGCTAGATTTTTGGGTAACTCCACTCTTAAATTATCTTTGTTGTGAGAAAATTGCAAATGTTATAATATGTAAAGCATTCATTTTAGAAAAAGTACGGTGAAAATGTGTATTGCCGTGAACGTACAATGCTATTACCACTAATCTTGCGGTTTAGCACGATCTTAATAGTTGCAATCACATGCCATTCAATATTGATAATCACACAAATAAGGAAACTGAATTTTGATAGCAAATAAATCTGTAACACAGCATTCAAATTTTGGTGGAAACTTATAAAATGCACTTTTTAGGTTACCACCGTAAACAGGACGTTTTTCAACAAAGTGTTCCCCAATTTCTTGATTCAGTGAATACAATCGCCCGAAATCACTAACACGGTAAATGTCCACATGCAACACTGACACTTGAGCAACATCCCCCAGGCCGTGTCCCACTCAAACACACTACAGTGACCTCACTCTCGTGTCGTTACAAAACCCCCTCGTACTAGCACCACACTGCCGACACGACCTCGCCAGGGACGGTAACGTGACGGCGGCACCGGCGCCGTCGCGGGCGTTACCGTTTACCCCGGCACTCGGTGACGCAAGGGTCACACTTGGCGCGCGGTGCGTGGCGCCGCCGCGTGCGCAGTCCTTTCTCCGCGAGTTGCGGTGACCTAGGTGACCTGGGCACCTGAGCATGTGATGCGAGCCGCTCTGCTAACCAACTGAGGCGCCGCGCTAACTTTCATCAGCGCTCTGCCATTCACACAAAGTGGCCACTGGCGGCTGGTGGCGATCCTGGGTCAGTCGGAGGTGAGGTCGCGGGTCGACAGGACCTCTTCTAAGGCCGCTCCGGAGTGAAGTCTGCTCGGTGTGAAGTCTGCTCAGTGTAAAGAATATCTTCGTGTGACACCTGAGGGGCCTTCGGCTGTTGTGAATATTCTCTAAGAACGTCCAGCTATCCGACTGCCCAGCTGGTCAGGAGTCCTCAGACATAAGCTTTCAGGACCACTTTGAGCTCACCATGTCGGTGCGACCACTCCTCACCTTCGGTCTCCTGGTCCTCAGTACCGTCCTCGTGGCGGCCTCTTCCAGTCCTCAGTCCTCCAAGTCCTCCACCGTGCCCGAGAGCACCTCAGCCCGCGACGCGCGCCTGTTCGGTGTGTTCCAGCTGGTGCGCTTCCCCAACGAGCCGTGCTCGACCACCGAGTTAGGCACCAACGGCACCTGCTACCTCGCCGACGAGTGCACTCGCAACGGCGGCCGTGCCATGGGCACGTGCGCCAGGGGCTACGGCGTGTGCTGCGTCTTCAGTGCCGGGTGTGGAGAGGTGATCTCACGCAACAGCACCATCTTCCGCGGGCCGGGGAACCAGACGGCGCCCTTCAACTGCCGCTTGACGGTGGGCAAGGTCAATGAGAACATCTGCCAGCTGAGGTTGGCCTTCGAGCAGCTGAGTCTTGCCGGCCCGGACGTTGACGGTGTCTGCAGACAGGACCAGTTCTCGGTGACCGGTGCCTCCTCCTCGCAGCCGCCGGTGCTCTGCGGCGTCAACAGCGGCTCCCACATGTACGTGGACGTGGCGCCCGGCTCGGGCAGCCAGGTGACCCTGCAGGTGACCACGTCTGGCACCCAGACGGCTAACCGCGACTGGCGCGTCCGCGTGGACCAGATCGAGTGTAGCAGTCCGTCACTGGCCCCCGCCGGGTGTCTGCAGTACTACACCAATGTCACCGGCATGGTGCAGTCCTTCGGCTTCGACACCAACACCAACGGTCCGCATCTCGCCAACCAGCGCTACGCCATCTGCGTGCGCACCAACGCCGGCTTCTGCGGAATCCAGTACGACGCGTGTCCGGCGATCAACAACTTCACCGTCAGCGAGAGTCTGGGCGCGGTGAAGGGCGCGGCGTGCAACACCGACTACATCACGATCGTGGGCGTCACCCCGGATGGCACCACCGGCACCCCTGAGGACCGCCACTGCGGCACCCAGTGGTCGGGCGACGCCGCCGGTACCTCGTCATCGGGAGTCACATTCAGCCAGCCGTTCATCGTCTACGTCAACTTTGACGCCACCGAGACCACAGTCGAACAGGAGGGCAGCAACCGCGGCTTCTGTCTCAGCTACACGCAGGTGCCATGCGGCGTGTCGAGTCCGCTGGTCGCGATCGCTGGGCCGCTCGTCACTCGACCGGTGCCCGTCATCCAGAGGCCGCACAACCCCTACCGACCCGAGGGGATCGTGGCGAGTAGTGGTATTCTGTCCGTGTCCAACCCTGCTGAACAGGACGCTTACGACTACTACAACCAGAGGAGGCCGGGCAACCGCGGCAGGGCGGAGGATCCCGAGAAACCGGCTGCACGAGGCTGGCAGAAGAGGAAGAACTTCTACTATGGCTGAAGTTTGAGGTTGCTGGCGTAGTAAGGTCTTCTACGGTCTGCCCATGCTAGATGTTGTAAAAAAAAGACATGCGCTGTAGCTATTCGAAGTTTGAGCGACTGTAACCTTTTTGAACGCTGCTGCTCAATGTTAAACTATCTTTGGTAGGTATACATTTTCGTGACTGCAGTGCTAACATTGAATCAATTGCAAGCTTCAGAAACACCGCTTAAGAAGTTCGCCTTGTCTGTGCCGTGTAGGAACTAGAGCAACATGATCATTTTTGTTATTGCTACCTATGAGTATGCATGATGCGGCACCTGGTGTGGTTATATTTACCGATACAAGGTGTTAAGCTGCAACAGCACTGAAGCCAACCAAACAACAATGCAGGCAGTTTTGATGTGCGTTTCTGGAGCATGCATTGTTGCATGTCGTATCCCGTTCCTTGCCACATATTTGTGCGATTGCAGCAAGTGATGTAACACGTTCAGCTCCCTGAACGCAGAGCCACCTCGCCACGCCTGAAGAACCGTTGCAGCTTGTGCAGCAGGTTGTAGCAGATTTCGGTGGTTCGTGCTATCATCCAAAGTGAATTGCTTCAGGGTTGACATGCGGCACCAGCCCGAGCGCGTATTTTCCAGTAAAGCGATGTACTTTAATTGTTTTGTTGTCACCAGCCTATATCACGGTTTCCGGTTTCTCTCTACGTTTTTGTCAACCCGTTAGTGGCGCTGATGTAATTGTGTTTTGTGTGACAGTGCAAATGAGCGTATTGTTATTTAGGTTAAACGGTGGTGGTTGTTTTAGGCCGACAGGCCTGTTCAAAAAGGGATGTGTTATCGCAACGAAGGCGACAGCTCATGCAATGTCGGCTTTCCATGTCCGTTGCAATCTGTCCGGTCGTTTAAGATTTATCTCATCATGAATAAAAGTAATTTTTATTCTGGAACATATGGGATTTTGAACAGATTCTCATCCGTTCGTCGCTGTTCGATGTTTCATGCAGTAAATAATGTGCCGTTAAAATAAACCACCAGTGGAATCTGGTCAGAGGAGACAATTATTGTGTAGGAATTGAAAATAAAAGGAACAGAGCGACCTAGCACGATTGCTGAAAAAGAACGCTATACAGCAATGACTAAAATTCTCAAAATGATAGACGCTAGAATATAAGAAGCTGCCGGCAAGTACACAGGCCATGATGTTTTATCAAAGCAACTCTATATTTATAAAATAAATTGATAATTAGCTGCTAGTAACGCCTGCAACCTCTAGCATCGCGATAATGTTAGGTAGAATGCACGGATGCATAAAGCATTTGATTCAACAACAATCAAACCGCGCAACTCCTTGTCAGTGCTGAACTCAAACCTTCCACCGATGAGTTCAAATCTCTGAGGAGCTCAAACTATTCTCGTCTTCCAACTCTGAACTCAAACCGTCCTCGTCTGCTGAGCTCGGGCCAGCTCTCCGCTCGACGGCGCCGCCTTGGCCGCAGCCGCGGGCGGCACATTCACGATAAGCGTAAGTGTGGTTGTCTGTAGTGTCTGTTCCGGCTGATCCCTTGATCAGCGACCAGTAAATGGTGCCCTGTGAACGAAGCAGCCACGAGGGCGGTACACGACGCCCGGGTCTGATCACAGGTCTCCCGGGAGTGCCCTCTGAGACGCGGCTTTCACTAGCACAGTTTACAAGATGTCACGCATGCGTGGTGAAGAGGGGGAGGGGTGTGAAAGGGGAGGGGTGAAGCCGACATCCCTGTCATGCGCCGGCGAATATCAAAGCTAAACACGACTGGTGTGAAATGCGGGTGCCCCTGGCTGCGATTTGAAAGTCATGTCGGATTAGAGGCCTTGATGGACCCATTCGTTGAGCTGGGCCAGATCCGATCAGCAGGGTGTTTGTTGCAATTACGATGGGTGATAAACGCGCTGTCGGCCGCTGTATCAGACCATCCTGAGAAATGGGACGCCGGTCACGGTGCATTCCGATCTGAGCATGGATATTTCAATCCGGAGGCCGGCATGCCCGTTTTTATGACGTGTGCCCACGGCAAAAATGCATCAATCGGTTCGTAAGCGATGTTGAATGGTTATGCATTAGATAGCTTTGGCATGTCATCATTGATTCGGCCATAAATGTCCTCAGGCGGTTGACTATCTGTATCGAATAAAAAATCATAAAGTTAATTTGAATTTTTGTTTGGTAAGCTGATGCACTAGCCACTACAAAATAGAAAACCACCACAGAATGCGCGGCCTCCTCCAATGGTGTCTTAAAGGTACCACCGTACCTCCCCCTACCCCCCCCCCCCAGTGACGTGTCCTTCGCGCCTACAATAGCGTCTAATCATCGGTCGTTTCATCTAACCGCTAATGGCTCCAAAATGGCGTCCGTCACCCCCCGGGCAGTCGGGAGTCGGGACGCACGTATAACTCGTCAGCCCCACGGGTACGACCCCCGGCTAAATAAGCGGCGAGAACCTTCCCTGAGGTCAGCTGTAACCTTCTACGAAGAGGGTAGTAGGTAGTCGCGTCTGAAGGGTGGTTTAACCACCGCCTTATGAACTGGTAACCCTCATCGAATGAGTTGGTAATCTGTCCGAACCAACTGGTAAACTTCCAGACGAGGTGGTAATCTTTCAATCAGTGTATAGCAGCATGCCGTTGAAGTGCTTCCGCGCGCAGTACCGAAAATTATCTGCTGCAGAGTTACAAAACATCGGCGCGGTGCTATAAAGTTTGAACGAAGCTGCAAAAGCACTTATTTTGTGACCACAGATCGAGCATGCGTCTTTTGTTCCAATGCTAGTTATTCAAACGAGATAAAAAATATTAACCGTCAGGGTTATCGTGACATCGAATGAAATTTTAGATCCAGCATTCATATTCATTCATCATAATGCACTATCTTCATATCTTGTACTGAACGGTTCCGTTTTCATCACTCCTATTGACTAATGTCCCGTCTGAGTACCTTCCACCTCAGGTTCGTGAGACCGCGGTCTCCGGTCCGGATGCATGACATTGAAGTCGCCTCCGTTTCCCTTCAGCCAATCGCGTGGGACAGCCAGTCAGCTGGGAAGGGCACCAGTGACCAATGTTCGGCTCCACTGGGCCCGGACCCTTCCCAGGGTCCACCGGTCACTCCCCTTCCCGACTGAGTCACGATTTCTCAAGGTAACGGAACGGAAGCGCCCATCGTCCCCGTTAGCGGGGCGATATGGTTTTCTGGTGACCTGTGATCGATTTTGCACTGAAATTGGCGTCCTGCATCGTGCTCGTTTCTTTCGAACAATTTCCGGTCTCGTGAGGTGACTGAAATCGCCGGAGGACAGGTTTGGTCATGGCTGATTGGTGAATTGTCTGTCGAGCCCTTTTCTGCTTTTTAGTGGAATGCAACTAATTCCGGTGCAATGTGGTGCTATTCAAAAGCCCTCCATCCGTCTGACACGACCTCGCGGTTATTTCACGAGCTGCCGCGCTCGACTGGCCTGCGGTCGGCCCCTCTGTGACGTCACTGCCGCGTATCGTGACGTCACTGCTCGGGTGGCAGCTGGCGTGTCAGCGGGCCGTGGCAGCGGCAGAGATCAAAGGAGCCGACGGTGCGACGCCCCCGGGGGTCACGAGAGTTGTGACCCATGATGGGGGGGGGGGTAGGAAGGGCTGAGGCTGCTGAACTGCAGGAAGGCAGTGACTCTCTGGAATACAAGAAGTGTGAAAGATTGCCGGAAATTTTATATTTCTTTGATTACAATTTAATTTGTTTAGACTATCAAACATATTAGCACACTTATTATTTACGGCTTAGATTCCAATTAGCGTAATAACGTCCTATATGTTTGCTCAACATCTGCTCAACTGAATACTGCCTTCATCTGCATTGTGTAGTTCAGTTATTATATAGCGAGCAGGAATATCATAATAATTGGGTAGGTACCTACTTACCTGCACACCAAACCAATATACAGGGTGATCCAAAAAAAAATTGGAACCCCTAACTTAAAATGTCTTAAAGTCAGAAAATTGTCACATTATTGACAAACTGCAAGCACCATTAGAAAGAGCGTTCAATTCTCTATAAAACCACGTTGATTGAACTTAATTATTATTATAAATATTGCTCTAGACATATGCCTATAAAATTTGTGCCACGAAACTCAGTGAAACGGTTTTGAACATTATGCGCAAATCAGTGATTGACGGTTTGCTGTTCTGACCATGTCGCTTGTTGGGGGTTCATGAATAAAAATAGCTCATTCACGTGCTATTGTAAGGAAAGGAAAGGCTGACGGCCTGCTGGGACCAGTTGTCCCAGAGACTGCTGGCCCGCGCAGTCGGAGCTGTCCCCAAGCAACTGCAGGTCTGCGTGACGGCCCACGGAGCTCGCGTTGAGCACATGCTGGGATGAACAACGGAAGCCAGGACACGTGTATCTGTTCTACTGTGTGCTTCTGTGTAAACTTTTATGAAGTAAAATTGAAATTGGATGTGGTGTTATTCGCAAAAAGACAACAGATAGAGTGCTAACGGATTTCAGCGCATCGTTAACAAATAAAAAATGGCATTATTTCGCGATTTCGTTTCACTCAGTTTTCTGACGCTCATTCCAAAAGCTAATAGTGTGCCAATGCTTTACAACATTTATGCACCAATTTGACGTGATTTTATAGAGGATTTAATGCTCTTTCTAATGGTGTTCGCAATGTGTCAATAAAGTGAATATTTTCGGACTTATAGACATTTTAAGTTAGGGGTTCCAAATTTTTTGGATCACCCTGTATTTACCTATTTCTAGATAAAGGAATCTGGTTAAAACGAAATGGAAGATTGGTGCAGGTAGGTATAAGTTCTTCTGCATCGAACACTTTCCGGTGTTGTCTAGATAACGCATGTCTAAACAAACATGAAACACGGAACTTCTGCTATGGAACGAGAGTGCACCATTTAGAGCCCGAATCCGCACCCTCAGCACGTTCTATAGTTTACGGTCGCAAGTCCACCGGAACATCACTTGGTATCATCGAGTATCATCTGCACATACTATTGTATAGGAATCGCGCTCCGCTTGATAATGGCAAAATGGTAGCTAATTTAGATACCTCCCTGTCCCTACTCTCCCCCTGCCGCCCCTCTGATGTCGATGACGGTTTGAACCAAGGTTTGAACTGATCTGCGGCCGCTCTGCCATCCCCGCCTGCCGTGCACAGTGCAACAGATCACAGACAACGACTTGAGCCGTGGCGTCAATTCCAATCTACCGCGACAAGCGAATGAATTGACTGCCGGCTCACACCAGGATGCCTGGAGCACTGGTTGCCTGTGTAGGAGTCAATCCGAGCTGTCATTGCAGCAATCGTGCCCCGTCAACTCAGTTGCGTTTGCTTGACCGGCCTAGGAAATAGGTGGTGAAGTGTAACTGGTAAGTGCAGGAAAGGAAGCTCATATTACAGCAGAAATCATCACAACAGTAATTGGTTTTCAGTGCCTTTCGTGGTGGCTGGTGGTTAAAATGATGCCGCTTAGGCGATCAACTTTCTGTAAGCTGCATTGCGAATTTGTGAAGTTTCTTATCTGGATTTACCAGCACTACAACCTAACGTGTTGATAAGACCTTTCCAACGCCCTCAGCACACGCCGATTATTTTCAGTCCCGTGATCCTCGCCTGCTGCTCCCCTCTGTCTGAACACTGCACACTGCACACTGTGCAGTGCAAAACACACGTTCTGTTCGTCCATCGCGCTCACCTCCCAGCCCTACATTCTTCTCCGTGACCGAGCGGCGAGCAACTATTGCCGAACAATATATTTCTTGCCCTGCATCTGGCATTCGCAGGTTGTTGAAGAATCTCAGTTGACATATATTGATATGTACTTCAGCAAAGATCGCCTTGAGGAAGATCCGGAGCGGCTATTTTTCTGTTGGTAAAACTGGCCTCAGGTAGAAAATAAAAATAAACAAATAAAACGTACTGAAATATGAGCAGATTGCCACCGAGAACATCAAATGCAAACGAGGAGGCCGGCTGCGAGCAGGGTTGTATACGACTCAATCAATAGC